TGAATGAATGAATGAATGAATGAATGAATGAATAAATAAAGTGGAAATTTCAAGAAGACTGGGCCAAGGATACAAAGGCAGTACTTTGGTGAGCTGGATAGATCCAAGTTTGATAAAACAAATGTACAGTTAAGACAGAAGGCAAGCAACTTCCCACCAGAGTGGGCCCATTTCCCTTCCCGACAGCTGAAAAGGAGGAATAGTGATGAGTGAAGGCATGGAACGGAGGAGGGTCTTCCGATCTCGGGGGGTGGGGGTGGGGGTCTTCTTACCTGAACAGAGTTGCTCTATCTTGGTTAAAGTTAGTTGTAACGACTCGTTGATCCAGGCGAGCATGTCATGGCGGCTTAAGTTATCACTCGTCACAGAGGTGGAGTACACGTTCACGGCCATTTTCTAAAGGAAAAAATCGATGGAGAAAGGAGACGGTTTTACTCAGGAGTTCGGAGCCACAGCTGTCTCTAGACAATCACCTGAGTCACCGTCCATTTAGGGCGCTCTCTTAATTAAGCTCACTTTGCCAGAGAGAGGGTAGCTCAAGAGAAGGTGGACTTTAATTCTCAATTCCCAGAGTTCCCCCTCTGCCAGCAGATGTCCAGCTAAAAGGTTTACTCCATTCTACAAGTGTATGTATATGGGTATGATACACAGACACACACACACACACACACACACACACACACACACACAAGATGCTGTATTAGGACCTCTTTCCAGAGCACGATACCAGTCTTTTGAGACTGAAGGATGCCAAAAAAAAGTTACACACACAAACACACACGTATACATATTCCATATATATATTTATATTTAGAGGACCCGGGTTGTTGGGGGCCGTTGACACTGTAAACCGCTTAGAGACGGCTGTAAAGCATTATGAAGCAGCATATAAGTCTATTAGGTAGGTAGGTAGGTAGGCAGGCAGGCAGGCAGGCAGGCAGGCAGGATGGATGGATGGATGGAAGGAAGGGAGGGACAGTCATGGAGTAGTGGTTAGAATGCAGCATTGAAGGCTGACTCTGCCAACTGCCAGGAGTTTGATCCTGACTGTCTCCAGTTTGACTCAGCCTTCCGTCCTTCTGAGGTGGGTAAAATGAGGACCCAGATTGTTGGGGGAAAGAGGATGACTCTGTAAACTGCTTAGAGGGGGCTGGGAAGCTCTGTGAAGCAGTGTATAATTCTAAGTGCTATTGCTATTTTACACACAAACACACACAGGCATAATGGCCTACCAGAAAAGACGAGGAAAACAGCCTCATTAGTAGGTGATTCACTTTTCTGTTATGAGGGATATGGGGTCTGATAAGTGATTTGCTCACTGAGGTGTTTTCACACACACACACATACACACACAGAGAGAAACTGACAAATGGATCCAAGATTTAACACCCTTACACCCAAAGGACTAGGAACTGTTAACAGGAAGGGAAAAGGAAAATTAATGGGTTCAGAGATAGTTGAAGGCAGTTGAAGGTATTACAGGATGGAAGTTTGGGTCTTGAGAAGGAAAGATTCCACACAGCAGAAGGCATGAAGATCAAATTGAAGGAAGCAATGATGGCTAATAACAGAGATTGAGGAAAATATTTGAAGCTCAGGGTTGAAATGAGGGGTCCTTGGTGCTCTCTGAGCTTGGTGGTGTTCTTGCAGACGTTTCACTACCCAGCTAGGTAATGTCATCAGTGCTACCAATAGTAGGCAGTGGGGTTTGCTCTCGTTTTTATACATGCAAGAAAATCACCAAGCTCGGGGAGCACCAAGGACCCCACAGTCCTCAACCTCCACTCCCTTCTAGCGCTGATGATGTTACTTAGCTGGGTAGAAAAATGTCCGCAAGAAAACAACCAAGCCCAGAGAGCACCAGGGACCCCTGGCAAACAGAGATGATTGGAAATAGAAGCCAGAGAAGGAAATTATTTCCGCATCAACCACCCTACAAGGAGCAGAAGCTGAAGATATTGTTATTAGAATGGAAAGGGCCAGGCTACCTAGGAACTGTCTTCCATTACATCAAGTTGTCCCGCCTGGTCAAGGAGAGAGGAAGGGAAGGCATGCTGCAGAGCCCATCAACTAAACATCTCCAATTGGCAAGGGTCCAGGAAGAGCGCCTTCTCTGCTGTTGCCCCTGCCCTGGGCAGTATCACCTCCCCCTCCCCAAAGGTGGGCCAGGCCCCAACTCTCCTGGCCTTCTGGAAAGGTATGAAAACCCTCAGGATGGAAAGCTCAGAGAAGCAGGCATTTAGGCAAGAAAAATGAAATGCACAGGTACAACATAGGTGGTGCCTTGCTCAATAGTAGCAACTGTGAAGAGGGATCTTGGAGTCCTGGTGGACAACCATTTAAATAGGAGCCAGCCATGTGCAGCAGCTGCCCAAAAAGCCAACACAGTTCTAGGCTGCATCAACAGAGGGAGAGAATCAAGATCACGTGAAGGGTTAAAATCACTTTATAAGGCCTTGGTAAGGCCACACTTGGAATATTTGCATTCAGTTTTGGTCACCACGATGTAGAAAAGATGTGGAGACTCTAGAAAGAGTGCAGAGAAGAGCAAGAAAGAGGATTAGGGGACTGGAGACTAAAACACATGAGGAACGGTTGCAGGAACTGGGGATGTCTAGTTTAATGAAAAGAAGGACCAGGGGAGACATGAGAGCAGTCTTCCAATATCTCAGAAGGGAGTCAAACTATTCTCCAAGGCACCTGAGGGTAGAACAAGAAGCAATGGGTGGAAACTAATCAAGGAGAGAAGCAACTTAGAACTAAGGAGAAATTTACTGACAGTTGGAACTTGCCTCCAGAAGTTGTGAATTCTCCAAACACTAGAAGTCTTTAAGAAGATGTTGGATAGCCATGTGTCTGGAATGGCGTAGGGTTTCCTGCCTAAGCAGGGGGTTGGACTAGAAGACCGCCAAGGCCCCTTCCAACTCTGTCTATTCTATTCTATTCTATTCCATTCCAGGGGCTGTTTAGTATCCTGAAAGCCCTCCCTTCAAATTTTAATTAGCTTGAACATTGTCGTATCATCCTTGCCTTTCTTTTTTTTTTAATACAGGTGGACCTTGACTTATGATAGTTCATTTAGTGACCATTCAAAGTTACAACGGCACTGAAAAAAAGTGACTTGGGTTTTCACACCTACAACTGTTGCAATGCTGGTTAAGTGATCAAAACTGAAGACACTTGGCATCTGATTCATATTTATGACAGCTGCAGCATCCCAGGGGTCACATGATATCCCCCTTTCACAACTTTCTGACAAGCCAAGTCAATGGGGAAGCCAGGTTCCCTTAACCACCACATGACTCACTTAACAGCTGCAGTGACTCGCTTAACAATGGTGGCAAGAAAAGTGGGACAAAATCGGCTGAACCGCTGTCTCGCTGAGCATCAGAAATTTTGGCCTCCAATGTGGTCGCAAGTCGAGGGCTACCTGTATATTTTTATATTGTAACACTTTACTGTAGAGCAGTTTTTCTCAACCTTGGCGAATTTTAAGTCCTGTGGACTTCCCCAGCCAGCTAGAGTAAAGGGAGATGAGCGGTTCAGATATGTGAAAAATTAATATTAAGAAAAAGGCTTCAGCAGGGTGTTTTTCACAGCCGCTTGAAGACTGTGGCCTTCAATTCAGCGGGTAACAGAATAAGAGATATGGAAGGGACCTTGGAGGTTTTTTAGTCCAACCCCCACCCCACCCCTCTTTTGTTCCAAGCATGGGAATTCTGGGTATTGAAGTTGCTGAATTTGAAAAACCTCTGCAGAAGAGCACAGGGAGGATTTGAAAGATTCCCATTCTGGCGACTGGAGCAGTTTTAGGATGCCTGTTACGGAGTCTAAGGGAACCCGTTGATGTTCCTAGAGCCGCCCCCCAAACCGTGAGATGGCAGTATATAAATTTTATTATAAATAGCAACAGATAAATAAAAGTCCTTGCGCAAGGAGATTAGAGGCGAGGGAGGCACACCACAGGGCATATAACTGCGGTCCTGCAAATGCTGCCAGATAACGGCGGTGAAGGGGGAAAAAATGGAAACCAAACTCAGCAATTTCCAGGGGGAGCCAGCTTTCCTGGTTCTGAAATGGAAGACCTTTTCTGATATTAAGGTGGGACCCAGAGTTTGGGAGCACAAACTGGGAATTAAGAATATGGGCTCTCTCTCAGCAGTATCAAGGAGGATTCAAAGAGTCCCTTAGGAGAGATGGGCGGTGTAAAAATGCCCCCCCCAAAATGAAGAAAAAATAAATGGAATTTAATAAATATGGAATATAATAAATAAATCCTACATATAAGCTGAGTTTGGGGAGCCAGGCATTCTCTCTCACTGGGATTAGGGAAAGGGGGGGGGGGACGACTGGAGAAGGGAGAACTCTGCACATGCCCAGAGCAAGTCATTGAAAGGCAGAGGTGGAAATTTAAGAATAAAAACAGTTTCTCCCCCACCAGCAGGAAGGACTCTTTGCACATGCCTGGAGCAAGTCAGAGAAAAAGGCAAAGTGGAAATTTAAGAATAAAATACAACACTCTGAAGGGGGAAAAAAGCAGCTGTTTCCCTTCCTCCCCTCCCCCCCCACCAGGAGGGAGGACTCTGCACATGCCTGGAGCAAGTCAGTTAAAGACATGGTGGGAATTTAAGACTAAGACATAGTGGGAATTTAAGACTAAAAAATAAATAAATTAAAAACAAGTCAGAAAAGAAAAAAGAAAAAGCAGCCTCAGCCTAACAACCCCCACCCTCCAAAGGAGCAAGGGCTCTCTGCACATGCCCAAGAGCAACTCCCTAAAAGGCAAAGTGGCCATTTTATGAATGAAATAAAACAGGGAAAAAAAGCCCACCCCACCCCATCCCCCCACCTACAAAGCAGAGAGGATTCTGCACATGCCCAGAGAGCAACGCCTTGAAAGGGAGGGTGGAAATTTAAGAATGGAAACAAATAAAACCTTTCTTTCCCCCCCCCCTTTTAAAGAAGAGAGGTCTCTGCACGTGCCCAGAACAATTCTCTCAAAGGCAGAGTGGAAATATAATATAAGAAAATATAAGAAAATAAGATAAGAAAAAAGCAGCACCTTCCCCCCCCCACCCCTCCCGGGCAGCCTGAAGGAGCCCCCCCTCCCCCATGGTGAAGGGGCTCTGGGTGACCCCCACACACCCCATGGAGGTAACTTAGGTGCAGGGAAGCCCCCTTTCCCCACCTCACCCCCAGGGAAGGACCCCACACCCACCCTAAAAAAGAAGGGCTGGAATAGCAGGGCCTGAGGAGGGGAGGAGGAGGGGAGCAGACCCCTCCTCAAAAGCAGGGCGTAGGGTGGGGGGGGGCGCTTTAGACCCCAAGCAGCCCCCTCCCAACCCATAAGGAGGGAGGGCGGGCA